GTGCAGGCTCTGGAGCAGCAGGGCTTGAGGTCCTGTCTCCTGGTGGAGGCTTCCAGCAGGGTGTTCATAGTGGTCCACCATCGCCTTCACTCATCCCTCACCCCATCTCAGGGAGCATCTCCTCCGAACCACCAGTGTCCTGCTCCCCCCAAAGACCTCAGGGGACAGACTGGGCGCTTGAGTGGGGTCCCTGCAGCAGCCCACTGGGGTGACCAGCCCCAAGGTTCTGGTAGTTGCAGTCAGGTTTTCTAGGTTGGTCCAGGGCCTGTCTAACTCAATGTGCGTGTGTCTGGCAGAACCCAGCTCTGGACGCGTCCACGGCACGAGCCTTGATGGCTGTTGCCATGGCTGGCTGTGCGGTAGCCGTGGCTTTCTCCATCATCACCATCGCCTTCTGCATCTTCTTAAGGTAGGACGTGCCAGCAGCTCCCCGGGGACTCGTCAGCTGAGAGAGATGTGGGACAATGATGGTGCCTCTGCATGAACCTGCTGTGGATATCGCATGGGGCCCCACTCAGCCATGACCCCCCCACCTTTTCTTCTCCCTCTGGGCACACTCAGGTGCAGGTTCAGGTCCGAGGAGACCCTCCGCATCAACCTGGGGCTGCACATGAACCTTGTGGGCAGCCTGCTGCTCCTCAACCTGGCCTTCCTGCTCAACAGTGGGCTCCCCAGTGGGACCCAGCCCGGGACCTGCAAGGCCCTGGCAGGGCTCACCCACTACTGCCTGCTCTGCTGCTTCACCTGGATGGCACTGGAGGGCTGTCACCTCTACCTCCTCTTTGTCAAGGTCCTCGGCACCTACATCCATCACTACCTGGCAAAGCTGTGCCTGGTCGGCTGGGGTGAGCACCACCAGCCTGGGCGAGAGCCAGGGGGAGAGAGGGGCAGTGGGTTACAACTGGAGTGGGAACAGGGTGACGTTGTCTGTGATGGGCAAGGAGCAAGCAAGCCCCTGTCCTGCCCTCGGGATGCCATGGTCAGGGCTGGGAAGTGTCTTATATGGGCTTGGTGCCCCAAATTCAGGGCAGCACCCACATGCACCTTCCATTCCACTGGGGACCAGCCTCCTGCTCATTGAGCAGGTGATATCCACTGGGGTCTTTGTTCTGCTGTTGTCAGCCCTCCACGGGCACCTTGGGAGGCACTGGAACAGACGATTCTGCAGAGAGGTTAGGGGACACCTTGAGCCCTGCCATCCAGTGCTGTCCTTCCCTCTCCACATCATGTCCCAGCAGCAACTGTTGTGCCCCTGGCACTTGTGCAACCTCAGTGGGTCCCTTAAGCTTCATCTTCCTGGAGGTCAGCATGTCCATGGCCATGTAGAGATCTCAAGCTGACCACTTTGCCTGCTGCTTGCCTTTTCAGCCTCCTCCACATGTCTCCCTTGTTCTTCCAGGTTTCCCCGCTCTCGTGGTGGTGGTGGCAGGAGTCATTGGCAGCTATGGAGAATACAGCATCCAGACCACGGACCACCAGGTCATAGCCCACCTGTGCGTGCGCCACCGTCCACAAGGCTTAGGCGGCCCTTTGGCACGGGGAGCAGTAACCCCCTCCTGCCGGGAGTGCGGCAGTGGGAGGTTGCGCCCATCCTGTTCGGGCTTACCCCACGCTTCCGCTTCGCTACTTGTGATTACAAAACAGCAGCTTTCTACAGCCACACTAACCACCACCACCGCCTCTTGTGCTGAGCCTCCTTGGTCATGCCCACAGGCCTCTAGGTCATGGAGGGACATCCAAGGTCCACCTGGAGCTTCCCCGGGCTCCCTCTTAGCTGAGCAACACGAGGGCAGTGGATCCGCACCACGATGTCCAGGGCTTCACCCTGGCCTGGAAAACCCCACCAGCATGAGAGTGTCCCTACATCCCCAAACACATCCCCCTGGGGAGGCTCCCATGGGTGCTGCCAAGGCTAGCAGAGCCACTGGAGGCACCACGATTGTCTCTTTTCAGGTGCTGGATCACTTCCAAACATCTCCTGGTCCACTATATCACCAACTGCGGCTACTTCGGCCTCATCTTCCTCTTCAACATGGCTGTCTTTGGGGTGGTGACCCAGAAGAGCTGCTGCCTGAAGGGCACGGGGGCGATGCAGAGGGACCGCAAGGCCTGGAAGGTGGCCCTGGTGGCAGTGGGGCTCTTCTGCCTGCTGGGAGCCACCTGGGCCCTGGCGTTCCTCACCCATGGCACCTCCTCGGCATCCATGCTCTACCTCTTCACCATCCTCAACTCTCTTCAAGGTCAGGGCCGGTTCCGGGCTGGGTTCCCTGGGCTTGGGTGGGGAAGACAGAGCAGGCAGGAGCCAGCCTGGCAGTAGGTTGACCAGGGGTCCCAAGGTGTCAGCATCTTTCCAGCACTCTCGTGCCCTTCCCGTTCCTCACCCATGGCACCTCCTCGGCATCCATGCTCTACCTCTTCACCATCCTCAACTCTCTTCAAGGTCAGGGCCGGTTCCGGGCTGGGTTCCCTGGGCTTGGGTGGGGAAGACAGAGCAGGCAGGAGCCAGCCTGGCAGTAGGTTGACCAGGGGTCCCAAGGTGTCAGCATCTTTCCAGCACTCTCGTGCCCTTCCCTTTGGTAGGGCATGTCAAGCAGTAGGTCCCAGCCACTGGGGTGAAGCTGGTTGTGGCTCCCAACCAACTCCACTCCACCAGGGGTGGTTTTCCTACAGGGAAGCTGCTCCTTAGCAGAGGAACAGGGACATTATCCTCCCAGGGTATGTCCCAGCCAAATGGCTCACCTGAAGCATGGGAAGACCCTCCTGGAGGACCAGGGCCAGCTGGGGGAACTCCCTGGAAGTGGCAGGGAAGTGCCAGCAGCACCCTGGCAGGATGCTTCCCACCATCTCCTGCTGCTGCTGCTGAGTGTCTGCCTTCCTTTCACTGCAGGAATCTTCATATTCATCTGGCTGGTCATTCTCTACTACCCGAAGACGAAGGAGACCACTGGCTCCCTCTCCCACATCATCAGACACGACAAAACCACCACAGTCTCCCAGGACTAGCTGGGGGCTAGACCTCTCCCCGGCCTGCGTGTGCACCTGCCGCAAGCAAGCTTCGACCTCAACGGATGCAGCTTTCCCCACGGAGAATGAGGGCTCTGTTTAGTGTGCCTCAGTTTACCCTTCAGTGGGCATGCTCCATCTTAGCAGGGCTCTTTGCTTTGGCCCTTTCGTTCCCAGCGGCCTATCTTGGGCGAGGAGCTCCGGAGACGTCCCTTCTGCCCAAGTCCCTCCAGGCTCCAGCTCCTCCATGATGTAGAAGTGCCCCTGATCTCATTCCCCACGGGCTCCTGCAGGGGTGAGGAGGGAGCCCACGACCCATCTGCCCGCAGCCGGGATGGAGCCACCCCCTCTTCACTAGAGATGGCCTTCGGTGCTAGACCAGCCCGGTGACGGGTGTCCCTGCTGTTGGAGGCGGGCAGATTGACTCACTCCAGCCCAGCCTCAAGAGGTTCAAGCCTGAGAACTAGTGAAAAAAGAGAAACCCCACGAGCTTCTCCCCAGTTCCTGTCCAAACGGGTCCTCTTCGGGCAGCCATCTGCTGGACGTCGCTCCTGCAGAACACCCTCTGCGGCCACCAGCGATTGCCGCGATGACACCGCGCTGCAGCGGAACGCACGCACGCACCCGCCTCGCAGCGGGAACACCCGTCTCCTCCTCGTCTGCCTTTTCGTATTAAATCTCTGCCAGACGCTCAGCGCTCCGCGTTCCGCCTTCCCGTGTCGCTCGTCACCTGCTTCACACTGCGAGTACCGACGGGCAAAAGACTTGCTGGCAAATTTGTCACAAAGGAAAGGAGAGATCTGTCGGGAAGGAAGGAAGGAAGGAAGGAGGGAAGGAAGGAAGGAAGGAAGGAAGGAAGGAAGGAAGGAAGGAAGGAAGGAAGGCAGGAAGGAAGGAAGGAAGGAACCTCCTTTACCCTTTTTATTTTATTACTTTTGGGAAAAGGAAAATAATGGAGTTAATAGTCTGTGCGGACACGTGTGCCCGCATAGAGCAGCCCCTTCTCTGCCAATGCCACACCCACGTCACACAGGACCACACCAAGTCCAGCTTTGGTGGGCACGTATCATCTAGTGTGGGTACCTCCATCTCCCCACCCACCAGGCTGGCTCCGGGGAGGAGGAAAGCAGGAGGAAGGAACCTCCCATCCCTGCGTACATGTTTTGAGTCTAGAGAGCGTGGGCCAGGAGGGGGTGAGAAGGTCCTAGGAATGCTACAGGGAACAGAAACACTCCGATGTGGCTCAACACAAGCTGGCACCGTGTGCTGGCAGCCCAGAAAGCCAACCGTGCCCTGGGCTGCATCCAAAGCAGCATGGGCAGCAGGGCGAGGGAGGGGATTCTGCCCCTCTGCTCTGCTCTCCTGAGACCCCCCTGCAGTGCTGCGTTCAGCTGTGGGGTCC